GTTTAGGGTTTAGTTAGTGTTTAGGGTTTAGGGTTTAGATTTTAGGGTTTAGGGGTTGGGTTTAGGGGTTAGGGGTTTAGGGTTTAGGGTTGAGTTAGTGCTTAGGGTTTAGGGTTTAGAGTTTAGGGTTTAGGGGTTGGGTGCAGGGGTTCGGGGTTTAGGGTTGAGTTATTGTATAGGGTTTAGGGCTTAGAGTTTAGGGTTTAGGGTTTAGTTTGTGTTTAGGGGTTTGGGGTTTAGTAAGTGTTTAGGGTTTAGGGTTTAGGGTTTAGCAGTTTAGGCGCTTTGGGTTTAGGGTTTAAGGAGAGATTTTCTTCAGGAGTTTATGGGGCTTTATCGTTCTTCTTTTTTTAGGGCTGTTATGTTTATAGGGTGTTCTCACAGGGATTTATTTGGGGAGCATTGTAGGGCTTCGGCCGGCTGGTACGTAGTATCAGCGTCTTGTGGTCTTTGCAAAGGAGCTCGGTTTAGAGGTTCACTAGCATGCAGGTAAGTTTCGGGGGAGTGTAGAACTCTACACTAAACCCTAAACCCTAAACCCTAAACCCTAAACCCTAAACCCTAAACCCTAAACCCTGACGACTGCTTTGGAGTCTTCATGTGGGGCGAGAAGTGAGTGGCTTTTAGAGGTTGTGTGCCGACGCTGGCGGGTATAACAAAGGTGCGCCATCACAACTTAAAAAAAAACCCTAAACCCTAAACCCTAAACCCTAAACCCTAAACCCTAAACCCTTACCTGAGAATTTAGGGACTGGGGATCCCTCAACTTGGAATCTCAGCCGCCCGGAGCTGGGGAGGCTCTCTTGGCCCGGCGATCGCCGGCGTCCCTCGACATCGAGCCTCCAAATTCGGGCTTCGTTCTTTTGTGGGGGCGGGCTTTGGGGTTTAGGGTTTAGGGTTTAGGGCTTCGGGGTTTAGGGTTTAGGGTTTAGGGTTTTGGGGTTTAGGGTTTTGGGTTTTAAGGGCTCTTTGAGGAGAAGAGCATCCGTTCTTTCCCGATGTATCTCTTAGTAAGTCTAGCGTGCCTACGGTCCTGAGAGTGCTTACCAGCACCTAAACCCTAAACCCTAAACCCTAAACCCTAAACCCTAAACCCTAAACCCTAAACCCTAAACCCTAGCCGGACATTGACCCTAAACCCTCAACCGTTCATGCCGGACACTTGGGTGGACGTTCACATTATGGACGTATTGAGAGTAGAATTCTACGGGGTTTCCCCAAAGGAGACCCTAATCTTAGGGTGCCGTAGAATTAGATAGGGTATAACCCTAAACTCTAAACCCCAAAAGCGCCCTGCTTTGGACAACACCCACTTGAAGGGTTCGGCGGTCACAGTTCAGGAAGGGTGCTGTAAAATCCCGTCAGACTCCCTCTGCGCCGCCTGGTTAAAGGTTCGGGCTTTAGGGGTTTAGGGTTTAGGGTTTAGAGGGGTTTACGGCTTGTGGGCTAGAATACCCCGATCCAGAACACCAGTCTTGCCTAAGCCCCCATGCCTCCAAATCCTAAACCTTAAACCCTATGAACCCATGTAAGAAACCTCATTAGCCCTTATAAAAGCCCTATTAACCCACGTAAGAAACCTCTTTTAGCCCTTATCAAAAAGCAACTTTGTCGATCCTTATGCGTCTAAGCCCAAAATGCACAGAAAGCCAGGCTCTCCGAGCACTGGACTGCCATCCTCAATGCCGTGCCAGAAACAGCAGAGGCTTTGGGGGGGGGGTGGGGTGGGGATTTTGGGATCAGGGTTTAGGACGTATGGTTTGGGGTTTAGGGTTTAGGAGGTCGGGTTCAGGGTTTAGGATGTATGGTTTTGGGTTCAGGGTTTAGGGGGTGAGTTCGGCTGCGCTCTTTGGCCAGAACGCGCATATCACAATTTGCAAGGGGTGCAGCTTTCAGGTAACAGTCCAAGAGAAGGGCCTAACAAATGATTACCAATACTAACTTGGGGGTTCCTTAATTATACTAACTTGGGGGTTCCTTAATTATTCTAGTTATAGTATAATATACCCTAAAACCCTATTCTAACTATCAAGGCCTGTATACCTTACTTCCAGGATGTGTGCAGGAAGGGTTTGGGGGTTAGGGGTTAGGGTTTAAGGGTTTAGGGTTTAGGGTTTAGGGTTAAGGGTTTAGGGTTTAGGGGTTTCGGGTTTAGGGTAGCGCAAAAGCATCACCGGCTGATGAAGATGAGGGCAGTTGCCACGATAATTCTGGTTTGTTCCATGGGGAAGCCGGTTCAAAGTAGTTACCAATATTAACTTGGGGTTCCTTATTCATTATTATTATAGTCTAATATACCCTAAAGCCCTATTCTAACTACTAAGGAATAGGAAACCCGAAGCCGCCGTGCATAGGTTGCCTCGCTGCAAAGATTGCGTCTGAGAAGCAAGCAGTGGGGTTCGGGGACAAGGGTGGTAAACATGCGAATTCCGGGTGTGCGAACCTGATCTATCTTTGTGTCTCGGTGAGTGCAAGATAGGGTTCTTCGGTCTTCGAGATTCGAGCCATGGATGTACTTGAAGTGAGTTTTCTCCTGCGTTTCGGTATACACGTACCTGGCGTGCAACCTAAAGCCTGAACTGTGCTGCAAAATGCCTGCAGAGCCTGCCGCCGCAAGTTGTTTGCTGGCAGCGAGAGTCATCGCCGGATCTCTGAACTAGTAGTACTGCAATAGACTTTGGGGGTTTCAGGTTTAGCCTTTGGGGGTTTGGGGTAAGGGGTTTAAGGGGAATTTTGACATGGTTCTGGAGTTTACCAGCGGTAGCACGTGATGACGATGCGGTGCTTGCGTGAGGGTGCTGTTTAAGATGACACCATGACAATGATTGACTCTAGTTCTAGGTGCTGCCGATGCTGCAGCTGTCCTTCTGCTGCTGCTTCCGCTTCCACATGCTTCCACCGCCAGGACGTAAACGACGAAAACACATGCTTCTGGGCTGTTTGCAGCTCCACAGCATCCCCCGAAACAAGAACACGACTGTGACCCTAGGCTCCCCTGATAGTATTCGTATAGTACGTACCCTTATAGGACCCAACTAGTAACCTGGGAACCCTAAACCCTAAACCCTTATCGGAACCCAACTAGTAACCTTGGAGGAAGCCTCAATCTCACCCTTATCCCTAGGCTCCCACTTCCGGACGACGGCCGGGATGGCCTGATAAAGGTGGCCGATGCGACGGGATGGTACCTGGAGCGTGCCTTCAGGAGCTCAGGGCTTCAAACTCGGTTTAGGGTTTAGGGTTTAGGGGTTAGGAAAAAGAAGCCGAAATAATTACCAATATTATTTTGGTTTGGGGGTTCCTTATGAGTCTATACCACAAAGGAGCCCGAAACCCTATTCCAATCATTGAGGCCCTTATAGTAGTTCGGTCAGGGTTGGGGACGTACGCTTCTCAGGGGTTTCGGGGTTTTGGGGGATTTAGGGCTTTGGGTTTAGGGGATTTAGGGCTTTGGGTTTGGGGGATTTAGGGCTTTGGGTTTAGGGGATTTAGGGCTTTGGGTTTAGGGGATTTAGGGCTTGGGTTTAGGGGATTTGGGGCTTTTGGTTTAGGGGATTTAGGGCTTTGGGTTGAGGGGATTTAGGGCTTAGGTTAGGGTTTTGGATGCTGATGCCACCGGGCTGCAAGGACGCCGGCGGTCATGAAAAGGTCGTGATGGTGTGGCAGAAGCTGCAAAGAAAGACGGAGATACGACCAACTTCTGCGGTTCGCCGGTTTAGGGTTTAGGGAAGTTTAGAGTTTAGGGTTTAGGGGTTTAGGGGGGAGGGAGAGAGAAAGAGAGAGAGATTGGACAGATGGTGAATGCAGCGATGCCAATGTCGGCCATGACTGGGACCGTTGAAAATCCCGAACCCCTAAGCCATAAACACTGAAGCCCCAAACCCCAATGGTTGCAGGATCGTCTCACGCACAGGCCTCTGCCGTGTGGCGCTGGAGTTACGCAGCAGCATTTGATCGCCAGGGCCTAAACCCCATATTTTCTCAAGCAGAAGCAGCCCTGAGCCCTAAGCATGACTTCCAGATCTTCAAACGAATCGCGAAGAGGGCAAAGAAGGGAGATACGGAGATGTTAACTTGTAAATCCGATCGGCGTTTTCAACAGGAGATGGTTAGTAACCCTAAATCATCTTATGATCGCTGTCGCCCTGGTTACATTTGTGTGGCTGTCAGTATGTTAATGTCGGACCCTAAATCCTAAACCTCTAAACCTGCTCCCCCTTTGTCCGGATCATCCCAAAGTCTTTCCAACAAATCTTGCCAAAAGAAACACGCTGTGCTAGCATAGAGGCCGGAACACTTCCTACACGTAATGCTGTTCCCGGGGTTCTTTAACATAATATTTAACTTTTGATATATATATATATATATACGCACATAATTACAAACAACACGCTGGTTAAATGATGTAATACATTCGCCAGATTTGAGAGCTCAAGGAGGGCTCTGAAAGCTCGGAGGACACCCCGAGTGCCAGTTCTGGAGGCCTCTGCAACAGAGCCCCGAACCTTCAAGAACCCAAACCAAAAGCGTAGTATAGAAGCAAGAATAGTTACCAATACTGGTATAGATACTATTCCTTAGGATTCCTAGGATCCCTAGGATCCCTAAACCCCTAACCAGTCTAAGGCATAATATGCTTGAGACCTGTTCTGATTATTCTCGCAAATCAACTCCGCGAAACTCTACACCTGAACCCCTAAAACCCTCAACTCCCCAACTCCGTACTCCCCCAAACCTACTCCCTAAAAACTCGAAAGCCCGCCCAAATTCCCAAACCCTGAACCCTAAACCCAAAGCCCCTAAACCCCCGGTTCCCCAGACCTGAAGCCTGAGTCCCACCAAAGCCCCCACTCCCTGAGCCCTAAATCCTAAACCCTAAACCCTGAACCCTCATCCCTGAAGCCCTCCACAACTGCACACCGAGGTTGTTGCAGTTTGGCATCCACGCCCTGCTGGGGGTGCCTTGGGCCGTGCCTTCGGGGGAGTTGCGCCTTGGCTTCGGAGAGACGCCAGGAGCCTGAATAGGGTTTAGGGTTTAGGGTTTAGGGAGTCGAAATAATTACCAAAGCTGTTTTTGGGGGTTACTTCTTATAGTTATAGTAGTAGAATATACCCCCAAACCCTATTCTAATTATTCATGCTCCTACATTAAGTAGGTAAGTAGCTTCAAGACACACATGAGTTAGTTTTACATGTATGAGAGAGCTACCTCTTGGGTCTATTTAACGATTCGTGTTTTCTTAGTACCTAGCTACAGGTTTTAAAACAATTAAGACAAATAAGAACAGTTCAAATCAGCTGATCTAAATGATTTGATTTCTCAACCCCTCCAAATTATTAATTAAACAAATAAGATCACCTGATTTTGAGTATTTTGATTATATTAACTAGTTAAGGACACCGAGAATAACGCAACCCATGAGCTCAAAGGACGGCGGCAGACCTGCCCGATTCGGCGGAGGTCTTCGACCCCGGGCCCTTGGTTCAGCTTTGCGGCAGCTCGGAGTGGACATTTAAAGGGATCTACGAAGGTTTAGGTTGTAGTTTTTAGGGTTTAGGGGTTTCTATAAGGGTACTATAAGAACGGCCTAAGGGCTTCGGGTTGAGGACTTAGAGTTTTTGAGTTTTAGGGTTTTGGCTGTAGTGTTCAGGTGTTTAGGTTTCAGGTTCAAGTAGGGTATATATATATATATATTTAAATCTCATATTATATACAACCTACATATATATATATATATATATATGTATCAGGCACTTCTCTATCCTGGGGATGCCCCATCTAGTCTCATCTCGCAACCTTATCCTCGCCAAGGCCTTTTCCGCCTTGTTGCAGAGTACCACCTCTACCTTCAGGCCCGGGTGGGCTTCAAGGGCTGAGGGTTCAGGGCGTAGGGGTTTCCGGCGTAGGGTATTTAGGGGTTTACGGCTTCGTGTTTATGAGATCTTACAGTCAATACCATACACGAGCAGCCTCTTCCCAATTGGCTTATGCTAGGATCGTACAGGGGTCTTCTGGGTTTCCATGGGTGATGTAAGGTTCTGATCCATTGGCTCATCAGTGCTAGTACTCCTGTATGGTTCCTATCCAGTCGTGTCGGTTCATGCCCTCAATGCTCAAACCACCCACCCCAAAACCCTTATCCCTTACGCTCTTCAACGCTGACGCCCTAAATCCTTAAACCCGAAGCCCTTCAGCCCCGTCTTTAAAACCTTGCACTTAAAGCTGTTTAACGGGTCTACTTCTTGAGAATGAATCGCAGGAAGACAGGCGCTCTTGTTGTTTTAGTAACGGTGATATTGACACAACCCAGTAGGGTAAGGAGTATGAGCTAAGGGTTTGGGAGTCCTTTATCCCCGGGCCTCATTAAGGGGTCGAAACAAGTGACAACAATAATTAATACTATCCCCTGGAGGTCTCTATATGATTTTATACCAGAATGTCCCTCCCACATCCCTGTGTTTGAGATTTCAGGGTTGTATGGTCGGCTTGTGGGGTGGGTCATTGGGTTGCACAGGGTTTTGTACTTGTGTTCTGCACATTGGGCGCTTCAGAACAACTACGCGGGTTCAGTGTTTAGTTTGTGCGCTTTGGGGTTTTGGAGGTTTTGAGGAGTTGGGCATTCAGGTTTTAGGGTTTAGGGGTCTGAACATGCATTTAATGCATCCCCGCAAGCCTGTTCTAATTATGCAGATCCTTCTGCCCCTAAACCCTAAACCCTCTCCCCTAAACCCTAAACCTTCTTGTTGACCCTCAATCCCAGACCATCCTGAAGATTCCTTGCGAGCCCTACGAAGCAGAGTTGCCACGTCAGTGGGTTCAGGGCTTTAGGGTTTGAGGGTTTTAGGGCTTAGGGAACCCCACGTAAGATTCCAACCCAATTCACTGAAACTCACCGATGGCACAGTGCCCCCAGGCGAGCTACAAAGAGATGCTCGAGAGTGGTTGGCCAAAGGATCAGCCGCCACCGGTGCAGCCGCTTGCATTGCATCTGCCCTAAACCCTAAACCCCCCAAATGCCCGCACCTAATCCCAGAGTTTCAACGACAAGGTCGCTAATCTCCCTGCTGGACTTTGCCGAGAGCCGGCCAGCGGACCGCGCAGGTGCCCTTCTGCACAGGAAGAAGGGCCTTTTGGGGATAGTATGGAGGGTTTAGGCTTAAGTTGTTTTGGGTTTAGGGGTTTAGGCTTTAGGGGTTTTAGGCTTGCAAGGTTGTTTTGGGTGTTATAGGCCGGTGTCTTGACAAGTGCTTTCGACCGTACACCCTAAACCTGAACCCCGTTTGACAGCAGGGGTACCATACTTCGGGCTCGTTTCCAAAAGGCGCCGGCATTCTTCAGTGATTTTCAGTGGTGTAGCATCCCGCGTTTTTTTGACACGAGTGAGTTTCGACGTCTCCGAACCTCAGCAATGATGATAGTAGGAGCCTTGATGTTGATAAGGGTTTACGCCTTGGGGTTTAGGATTTAGAGCACTAACTACTCACTGGCGACAGTTACCATGGTGATAGGTACGTAGCAAAACACACATAACAACTGCACACAGCAGTGTAGATCTTGATTTATAAACTCCTTCCCCTAGAAGAAAATGTTTCTGGGATCTACAATAAACCAACCCCTCAACCACACACCCTCGAGTCAGGGCCATGATAGAACCATTGAAGCCCCACGCCCAAAACCCTAAAAAGTACCCGAAACCCTAAACCCAGGCCACCTACGCCCTAAACCCTAAGCCCGAAGCCCTAAACCCAAAGCTCTAAACCCTTAACCCTAAACCCGAAGCCCTAAACCCAAAGCCCTAGCCCTAAACCC